AAGAAAGACAGCTCAGGAAAAGCTGAGAAGAATTTGTTTTGATTATATGAGCCACATGCACATCAATAAAAATTAATATAACTGACAGAGCAACATCAGAAAGGGAGAGGCATCACTCTGGGGTGAGAATAGCGTCCAAGCCGGCGGGGCAATGCATATTAAACAACCTTTGTCTCAGCTGGGTGCCCAATTAATGCTCATCCACACACAGACCCACTTAAAGACTCTGCCCAGCACTTGGCTGGGAGCCTGGACCGGCCGGGACCGCGTTGCGCCCCTCCAGCCCCAGTGCCGATTTTATAGTTTGCTCCAAGTCCCAAGGTGTCCTTCGCACACCGGCCCCATACGTTCAGTTCTTCCCTTTCATTTCTGCACCGGAGCTGAGCTAACTGCCTCCGCCGGCACGCCGGCCGGGAGCGAGGCGCTGCGGGAGGCTTCACCCGGCGGGCTTGGCGGCCCCGCCGATAACCGGGTACGGATCAAATGAAATAGGAAGGCTGGCCGCCTCCCCCAGGGGGGGCTCGGCGCCCCCGCCGATAACCGGTTACGAATCAAATGAAATAGGAAGCCTGCCCGCCTCCCCCGTTCACTGCAGACGGCTGCTTTGCGGTAGATTTGATAGCATTTTCTTTGCAGCACAACACATATGTTACTACAGCTAAAGTATAATCGCTAAACATACATTTGCATGCAATTATCCATTTTAAAAGGTGGTAATAAAGTCAAAGGAATTTACTTAGGCGCAATCTGCTCTCCAGACCTTGTCCTCACATGACCTACGCGCAAACCTCTGAGATTACTGCAATAGTCAGCGCAGCTACCGCCAAGAAGCTAAATCATTCCCACATCTTCCCATTAACTCAGCTCTGGTCCATCAAATATTAAAGAGCCTCAAGCCTGGACACAGCTCGTTTTACGAAGGTCAAGTAAATCTTTCATCTCTTCCCATCTCTATCTTCCACCACCGTTCCCATCATCAGATGAGCATCGCATGCTCTTTCACGTGAATTTTAGCTGTATGCACGCTGACTCTCCGTAATTGGTGTACAAGGCTCCTCTGTTCCACAGAGACATGATTATTTTGTTGCTATTTTTGCTTTATAAGGCTAAAGCTAGAGGTGACTCTTTGCCTGAAGGAGGGACTTTTTTTTATTGATTTTTTTTTTTTTTTTAAATACTCTGTGGTTTCGCAGTACATCCCACTGGTGATACCAAAGAGAGAATAACCGGAGGGCTGAGGAGGCAGCAGCAGGCAAAGGGCTGGCTGACCAGCTCATTCCCGAGAAGTCCGGACAGACGGAGGAGGAAGGTGCCCGGGGGTTCATCCCCATCAGAGGAAGGTCCCCATGGGCTCGTCCCCACTGCACCTTCCCACCTCCAGCGTCCCCAGTACAAGGATTTTCCGAGGCAGAGGGGGCTCAGGGGTCCCTGCCCGGCCCCTTGGGACCCCGCGCTTGCTGCGCTGCCCAGGGTCAGAGCAGGGCAGCTATGAGAAGCAAACAAACTCAGTAGGCAAGCTCATCTGGCTGGGGCTGATTTTTGATATGCAAAGATCCTTTGATAAGCTGACTCTTCCTCCAGGGTGACCTCCCCGCTCGGGAAGTGGGTTTAGCTGCCGTTTGGCTCAGCTCTTCCCATCCCCGGCAGCACGACCTGACCTCAACCTCCACCACGTTTTAGAAGCTCTGCACGAAGCCGTGCCCCAAGGAGCACTAAGGGCACCGCAGGAGCACCCCGCGATCCCGGAGACGCTGCTAGCTTTCTGCAGAGACTTGATGTGACACAAGTAAACACCAGTGCCAAGCCACAGTTTGGAGGGCTGCTTCTGAACACATCCCTTTTGCCAGCCTGGGGGGTTCAGCTGCCCCCTGCACTTTCCCATGAAGCAGGTAAGGAATAAAAAGCAAACAAACAAACAAACAACTTAGCAGAAAAACAGGGATCGCGGTGGAATTGGTCCATGCCAAAATCCTGGGTCTGCACATGCCAAATCCCATTTACTGCACGAGCGCCTTGGTCTCCGTCTCGCAGCACCCTGGGGCTGGTCCCGGTCCCAGCAGCTGTCAGCAGCCCCGGCCCCTCTCCTGGCACCCGAGCCCCGCAGCACCAGCTCCTGCTGCCACCCCTGGGGACATGCACCCCCTAAAACCTGGGAGCAGAGTATTTCCAAGCCCTCTCCCAGACTCTCCATCCCCCTTACCCTGCCTTTGGGCGCTTTGCAAGGCTTCCCAGGAGCAGCCCCCAGCCACGCGAGGTGGGAGCATGCCCGAGCTCTCCAGAGCAGCACATGACTCCCTGCAGCAGCCAGAAACTCAGCTCTCTCCTGCCCCAGAACAGCGACTTTTGAGAGCCAGGGATGGCGCATTGACAGCTGCACATTTAAACCCGGAGCGGTGGGACCGGGAGCCCAAGCTCCCCGTTAGAGAGCCAACGCTTTCAGGCTCCCAGAGGCAGAGCCAGACCCAAACTCACCAGAGCTTCCTGGGCATTTTGGGCACTGAGCAGCAGACGGGGCCGTTCAGCAGCACCTCCCCAGGGATGCTCGGTCCTCCGCAGCGCCTTCCCTGCCTGAATGCGGCCCCGGTACCTCCCCGCGCTGCCTGTCACCAAAAGGGGCCAGCCAAGCCCCTGACCGCGATGCCAGGGCTCCCCATCCATCGCCTCTCCTCCGACACTCCCACTCCGCAATGTCTACTCATTCTCTCCGGTTCCAAGTCCCTCAGACATATTCATGGTTACCATAGGAACTAATGAAACCCAAATTAAAAAAGGAGAGACAGAGGGAAAACCACTTTGATGCTCTGGTGCCACCTGCATGCGCGAGTTTATTATGACGAACGACAAGAGCAGCAGGCAGGGGAGCATCCCGCAGCCCAGCTTCGTGCTCGCACCCTCCCGCTGCAGCGCTCGGGTTCACCAAATAGCGGCTTTGCACAGGATCGGGCCTTCGCTCTTGCCCCCGAGAGCCCCCCGGGATGCAGAGCCCGCTGCTCCCCTCCGCCACACTCCCCGGGACGGAGGGGCTGATGCTGCCCCAGCGAACGGCTCCCAGCGCAGGCGCAAGGGGCCGGCTCCAGCAGGGGCTCCCGCAGCCCCCCAGCCGCACTGGGACCCCTTCCGCAGCCGAAAGCTCGGGGCCACATCCACCACCGTGCGCTATTTCTCCCCTGCCAGGTTTCTGCAAGTCAATATTGATGTTTGCAGCATGCACAAGGCTTTGTGAAGTGCTCCTCGGCTTGCAGAAAGCAGCTTGTCTTTTTGTTAACAAGTTACACAGTGAAGAAAATTGCCTACGCCTGGTATCTTGGCCAGAAGGCTGCAGCAATAATAAGAGGGCGTTAGAAAACCAAAACTATGTTTTTTTTTTTTTATTTTAAAAGCTTTTACAAATATCTAATGTAACTCTGGCTGGGCCCCAATTACAGAACCATTTAATGAAGCAATCTGTCCACAAACCAGAAGCATTATCAGGCTGTGGAAAGCATTAGCTGCAAATAGCGGGGATAAAACAACTCCAGTGGATGCTCATTGAACGCCCTGAGCAAACCCCCTCCTCCGACTGGGGTAGGAGGGAGGGAGAGAGAAACGTGGCCCCAGACC